TGCTTTCTTACCCCCTTTGCCAATATGTCATATGTTTGGAGATTTAAGTTGAGGGAAACATATACACACAAAAAAACACAAATCAAACTGTCATGGCAGCCACAGCTGATTGTCTCACAACAGGCTGTGCTTCTGCCATTACCATTACCATCTCCTTAACACATCTCCGAACTGATAAAAAAGGCTGCTCGGCCCTACCTATGTTTCACCTTCGACCAGACACAAGATTCCTGTCCCAACCGGTGGGTCAAAACTTACAGTGACTGCCCTACTGGTCATGCAAAGTACATGATGTATACAATGGCGATGGAATGTTCAAATTCAACTCGAACACAAAGACCTTCACATGAACAATTTTTGACCCATGGGATTCCGGATGGGCAACCAGAATGACAGGAAAATTTTACCCTAATGGGTACTCATCTCACCCCTCCGGGAATGTTAGCCTAAGTAGAGAGTATGTCTCTATTGCTACCCAACACTCCCAACTATTAGCCAACATACAACACTCTGAGCAAATACTTGTTAATCAACTAGAAAGCCCAGACCCCAACTCCCCACTCTCAGATCCTTCCTCATCCCCTTCACTCTACTCTTGGCTCCATATCATACAAAACATTCTTGCCATCTTAAACCTCACTATGCCCACTCTAAAGCCAATGACCTGTTACCTTTGTGCCTCTTTAGCTCGGCCCTTATTAGCTGCAGTCTCTCTTAACATCACAAATTATACCTTCTTGACCTCAGGAATCTCTATCAGCCCAATTACCAATGTTCCCTTATGGGAACCAGAAAAAGACAATATCTCATTCCCCTTACATGCCTGCATTCTTCCAAACTCCCTTACTAATGTCACCCTAGGGAGAGGCAATTGCGCTTATAACCAAACCATCTCTACAACCTCCTATTCACGACCAGGAGAGTTTCTCTGGTGTAACGGCACTCTCTCAAACCAAATTCTACCCAATCAAATCCTTATTTTCTTGTCACTATTGTCCCTCAACTAACCTTATACAGTAGCTCTGAGGTACAATGGTTGCTTCCTCACTACAGAACGCACAGAGTGGCCTTCCTTCCCATTATGGTCAGGATATCCCTCTCCGCCTCTGCGGCAGGAATGGGCTTCTCAGGAGGAGCCTTAGGACACCCCTAAGGGCAGTAGATGACCTTAATGCCAAGCTACAAACTACTTTAGATTCCACCGCTGAATCCCTGTCCTTACTACAGAGACAAGTTACATCTCTAGCCCAAGTAACCTTTCAAAACCAGCAGGCCCTAGATCTTCTAACTGCCAGAAAGGGAGGGACTTGCCTCTTCTTTAAAGAAGAATGTTATTATGTCAATGAGTCAGGACTAGAAGAATATGTACATAGACTGGCCAATCTTGCAGAAAGTCTAAAAAGGTTCCCCGCAAAGACTAGCACAACAGGACTCTTCCAGTCCTCTCTCCTCACTTGGCTCCTGCCTATCCTTGGTCCTTACTCATGATCTTTCTTTTCTGTACTTTTTTGCCCTGCATAATAAAATTCATTCAAAATCAGATCGGCAAAATTTCTAACCAAACTTTCAACCAGCTCCTCCTTAGGGACTACCAATTGCTGAACAATGTGGATGAGACGAGTGCTGAAATTCTTTGAAGCGCTACGGGAAGATAGCTGGCTCCTTCCAGACATCCAACACACCAGTGATTGGTTCGAGGGACTGTTCGATCTCTGGATCCAGGGAACATTTCTTGAATTCTCTGAAGAGATCTTCACCTTTGGAGCCTGGATGTATGCCATGATGAAACTGACAAACCCTACCTTGTTCAAACATAACTACTCCCTTTTGCGCACCCCCTTAGATTAAGACATAACCCCCCCTTTCAGCAGGAGGTAGCCAGAGAAAACAATGACCCCTCCCCCATACAAAATCAAAAAGGGAGGAAAGTTAGTCAGAATGGTACCCAATCCCCACACTCTTCGACCTCATATGGCGACCGTTAAGTTTCAGTTTCCCGGAATTAAGTTCAGCTTCCTATTCATGACAACCGAACACACTGTGACGCAGACCAGTAAAGTCCCGCCAGCTAACCTCAATGAATCCATAGCCAATTAGCTGGTGCCAAGTGCCTTAATAGGGTATATAAACCAAAGCTCCCTAGCCAGCATGGCTACTCTCTCTCTCTCTCCCGGGCAGCCACCTCGTCACTGCTAAATAAATCTCTTGGTTGGATATCTGCTTCTTGGTGTGGTTGTCTCTTCCTTTAAGGAATTCGGCAGTCCTTTTACACAAGACTACTGCCTATTTCAAGACATATTAGGAAGAATATAAAATGTAAGTATAAGTTCATTTTTTTTTAAAGTAGTATTTATTTCATTTATGGATTTATTTCACTCTGTCACTAATATGTAATTCAGATTTAAGTGTCTGGGACCAGAAGAGAATCAAACCTTTATCAACCTAAATTAATGTGCAACTTCTTTAAGAGACCACTAAGAGAAAAGAATCAACAAATGGGAAAACTAGTCTACACTACTAGCCCAAAGTAGAGGCATTCACATTGTGGAACTCTGGAGTATATAACATTGTAACAGCTTTAAACATAACAAGGGAACAGCTGTCTCCTTATCCATTCTCACAAAACTGAAGTCTATCTATGTATGTACAAGGCTCCTAATGAGATCTGTGTTGCTTCAGTTCTAAATATGAAAAGATACATGAATATCTCTACTCTGCAGAAAGTTTCAACTCCAAAGAGAGCATCCAAGAAAAAGACAAAAAAGCAATTCCAGAAGACAACACACTTTTCAAGAAGTGATTTTTGAAATTTAATTGTATATACAAAATCACTAGAAAACATAGTGCACTAAATAAGGAAATAATGCTACAAAAATTAAAAGTATACTTAGAACCAGAAAGAGTATCCTAAAATGGAAGTCTGGGATCATTCATAGGAATATCATTTCTTGGCTTAACACAAGTATTATTATTAAGACAAGTATTAGTATTACAAGTGTTATTATTATTAAAAGTAAGACAATAAACCTACCAGGCACTGGAACATTGTTACAATTTTTTTAAAAAACTGGAAACAAGAAACAAAAGCAAATCCTGATGTGAGCAACTTCTTTGTTCATTCACCTTTGCTATAAAAGGTGAATTTAAAAATAAATAAATAAAATAACAACACAGGGAAAGCAGTGGCAGATGAGCCATAATTCAGAACCCTCCTTCAAATACCTACTCTCCACATTCACAAAACAAAGACACAACCCAGAACTACAAGAACTACATTGCAAGTGCTATGGCTCTGGGTATCCTTCTGGAAACAATGTTTCATCTTTTGTCAATTACTTCTTGACTGCCATCTGTTCCACACTGTTACATTGTTCTCTGCTACTTTCTTTGCTTGTCTTGTTTTCCTTCTTTAATGTCTCTAACTTGTCAAATTATATGTGAAAATGTTGGTTTGTTGAAAGACATTTTCTATTTCATAGGGAAATTCTCAGTATTCTTTCTTAAGTAATGGATAAAAAGCCACCAAATAGCACTAAATAAAGATTAGAAAATAAAGGCAACAATAACAAAGTTAATGTAGTTCAGAAACCTTTTCTGAGTAATTATGGAAAACTACTGCCTGCCAACAAAACAAGCCCATGGCAATCATGAACACTACACACTTGTGAATACACTTGACATTATCTGTTGTTTTCACTTATCAATTTAAATCATTATACAGCTTCATTTATCCTACTACATTCAAGATCATTTTTACTTTTTTTTCTTAATTTAAAAGTATATCTTCCAAATGATGCTTTAAATGACTCCAGCTTATTTTTAGTAAAGATGAAGAACATCTACAACTGTACAACTGTCATGTATCCTTGAAAAAACTGCTTAAAGAATGATCATATTAGAAATATAACTGGTTAATAAACAAGCACAAAAAAGCTACCTGCTGAGAGTCATTTGATTTGAAAGCATCCTTAAGAATTTCAACTGCTCTTGATGGATCAACATATTTCCTTTTAGTACCAACAAGAAGTGCAAATAGATACCGCAGCTCATGCATAAAAGGCAAATTCCGATGCTCCTATTGGACAAAAAGGAAAAAAATCAGTAAGTGAAGATCAACAAAATCTTTACTGGTAAACAGGTATTCGTTTTAAAATTAACCAAAATTTTTGCTAATATAGGTTAGGAATGAGTACAGCACTCCCTATATAATTAAAGATTGTAGGTGTCATGTAGAAGACTCAAAGAAGGAGTCAGGAATGAAAACAACAGAGGACCTAGGCCAAGCTCATAATTTCAGCATAAATGCCACATATTCATGGCAAATCATGGCATTACCCAGCCAAGAATATCATCCTCATTCAAGTGGTTTATTATAATCCTTTCCATTCAGCAAAGCCCAGCTGCTGCTGAGAACAGAAATAACAGCAGGCAACATTCAGTATTACCTATGTGCCAAGCACTATTTGAATACTTTACCTCAATAAATGCATTTAAACAAACTAATCCCTCTTCCATGAAGCCTTCCAAGACCTACCTCCCCAGCCCCCCAAGTAACCGATACCTTCAAATTCTACACCTACTGAAATGAATGTCTTTCACTAAGCAATAAATCACCAGCTGCCACTGTTGTGTGATGATCCTAATTACCACATTAACTTATCATCTTCCCAGTGTTCCAAATCTTAACTTCTGTGTCTCAATAAGACGGTTAAGCTTCTCAAGACAGGAACTTCCAGTATCTCTTCCACAATGTTTCGTTACACATAGCAGACGTTCAATTTCTTACTAAACCAAACCCTCCAACAAGAACAAAAACAACCCACTACCATCAACCACAAACAATTTGTTTTAAAATAAGAGGGAGACTAAAAGAATGTAATTCATATAACTTAGCAAAATACTTCATAGCAACAAATTGGACAAGCAGTTCTTACTATAGTTAATGCTTGCAATAACAATTTTAACAAATAAAGTCTATATATACTATTTAAACATTAGAAACTTTTTCCAAGTTTGCAGTTACCTTCTCAACATTATAAAATTGCAGGGGTGTGTGTATAAACATGTACACAGCTGCTATCCAAAATAATATTATCATTACAGAAACAGTTGCTTCCAGAAGGCATTAAGAAAGGAATCCTAAGAACTAGGTGCAAGGAAATAAAATTGATTGCAAACACTTATCATTTGATCCAAAACTGTATGTCATTACAGCAATCCCGAAGTGCACTGTCTGACATAAAAACGCTGAATTATAAAACATGGACTTTATTAAAGTGTAATAAATTCCATCACCACTGATAAAGGTTTTAAACAAAAAGGTTTTAAATGATACAGAAAATTAACCCATGATCTTCCCGTGGTACTTCATATTTCCCCAAAACTGCCTATTTAAATAAGTTTTAAAGGTATAAAACTAAGAATTTTATTCCAAAAAATAATTTCCAGGAATATCCTTAATTTTCTGAGATCAATTTCTTCCCTTGTTACACCTAAATCAATGCAGTTTTTTTAGACATTCCTTTCCAAGTAACAAGAATGAAGTAAATTAAGTGAAATACTCCTGAGAGGCATATCTGAAAAGTAGAATATTATAATGAAATATTTTTGCTCTCAGCCAATTCCCCTGCCTAGAAAATCTTTTTGAATTTCAAAAGGCAAAATTGTAAACGATGTTAAAAGCAGCCACTGCATTTGGCTAAATTATGAAAATATTGCCACATATACAGAAATTACTCAAACATCATTCTTAATCTTTTAAAACAGATTTACCAGTCTACAACTGATGTACAATATACTGTATATTATAAAGTGCACAATTTTATGAGCTTCAGAGATGTATACATCCATGAAAGCATCACTACAATCAAGGTAACATAACTATCCATCACCTGCAAATGTTTCTTCAACTCCTACTCCTTCCCTAATCATCCGCACACGACCATAATAACTTTGTTTTCTATAAATTTATGTAAGACCCTACACTATGTACCCATTTTAGTCTTGTTGCAACAGGCATAATTAGAGCTTCATCCATATAATTTGTGTGCATTAGTAACTCATTCCATTTTACTGCTCATGGTATTCCATTACATGGATACACCAAACTTATTTATCCATTAACTTGTTCCATCTGTTGTGGATATTACTGTACACATGGATGTAGTTTTTCTTTTTCAAGTTAGAATAGTTAGATTGCAAGGTAGATGTTTCTAAGAAATTCACCAGATTGTTTTCCAAAGGCATTATACTAATTTACATTACCAATGGTGGTGTAATGAGAGTTCTAGGTCTACATTCTACAACACTTCGATATAGCTTGTATGTATGATGAGGCACCTCTAGTTTTAATCTGCATTTTCCTAATGACTAATGTGTTAAGCATCTTTTCACATAGATATTTATGACCTACATATCTTCTTTGGAAAGTATGTGTTCAAATATTTTCCCCAATACAGAAACGCTTTTCTCAATAATTTTTAGAGTTTTTAGGTCTATAATCCATCACAAGTTTTGTTTCACATATAGTGTCCTATAAGGACTAAGTGTTTTATTGCTGTCTATAACACCATTAGATTTTCCTTTGCCCATTGAATTGTTCTGACAACTCTGATTAAATCAATTAACCTTATTTATGTGGATCTATTTCTAGACTCTATTCCATTCCATTGATCTATATGGCTCTCTTTTAGCCAATAACAAAGTGTCTTGATCATTGTAGTCTGATAATTAATCCAACATTATATTTCGTTCTAAAATTGCTATGGCTATTCAACATCTTTTGATTTTCCATACAAATTTTAGAATCAGTTTGTCAATTCCTATGAAAATCCTTGCTGGAATTATGACTGGAATTGCACTGAATCTATAGATTAAAACGGGACAACAGATATCTTAACACTGAATTCCCTGATTGATGAACATGGTATAACTTTATTTCTTCAGTTTCTTAGCAGTATTTTGCAGTTTTACATATGTATCTTTTGTCCACTTTACCCCTAATGTTCCATGTTTTATGCTATTGTATATAACCACTTTTTCATTTAAATTTCCAATGTGTGTTGCTAGCATAGAAACCCAATTGATTTTTGTATGTTTGCCTCGTATCATGTAGCCTTCCTGAAACATTTCTTGGTTCTAGCATCTTTTTGTTTTTGTTTTTGTAGAGTACTTAGGATTTTCTACATAAGACAGTCGAGTCCTATACACAAAAAGACAGTTATATTTCTTCCTTTCCATCTGCATACTTATTTCTTTTTCTTGCTTTATAGCACTGGTTAAGAACTTTAATGTATAACAGAAGTGATGAGGGATGATGTGCTTGCTTGTTCCTGATCTATATTAGTTGTAGATTTTTCATAAATAAGCTTTACCCGAATAAGAAAGTTGCCTTCTATCCCGAGTTTCTGAGATTTTGCCACAAATAGATGTTAGCTTTCGTCAAATCCTTTTTCTTCCTCTACTTAGATTATACGGATTTTCTTATTTAGCCTGTTAATATGGTGAATCACACTGATTTTTGAACATTAAACCAATCTTGCAGTCCTTGATAAACCCCACTTGCCCATAAGATATTCTCCTTTATATGTATATTATAGGATTCAGTTTGCCAAACAATCTGCTACAATGTTTTCCTCAAAGTCATGAGGAATATCGGTCTGTAGTTTTCTTGAAGTATCTATTTCTACCTTTGTTTTCAAGGTAATGCTGGGCTCATACAATGAATTGGGAAGTTTTACCTCTTCTTCAATTTTCTGGAAAAACATGAAGAGAATTGGTATTATTTCTTCCTTAAATGTTTGGTGTAATTGACCAGGAAAGTATTTTGCTGTTGAATTTTTTGGTGGGTAGATTCTTAAAAAATAATTTGATTTGTTGAATACAATACAGGGATAATCAGGTTATCTATTTTTTTATCAGTTAGCTTTGATAGTTTGTGGCTTTCAAGCAATTTCTTTATGATATTCTACTATTCTTTTTTATTGTCTATAGAATATATATATGATGTCCCCCTCCTTTCATTCTTTATATTGATAATTTGTTTCTTCCCTGTTTTTCCTTGCTCAATCTACCTAGAAGTTCATCTATTTTACTAATCTTCTTAAGCAGCTTTTGGTTCCATTATTGTTTATTGTTTTGCTGATTTCTACTACATTGATTTATGCTCTTTTATTTCTTTCTTCTACTTTAAAATTAATGTGTTTTTCCCTCAATTCCTTGATGTGCAGGCTGATGTTATTAAGTTCAAACCATCCATAATTTCTAACAGAATATTTAATTTATATATTTTCCACCACCCATTTTAGCTACAGTCCTCTAATTTTGTTACGTTTTAATATTTATTCGGTTCAGGATATTCTAAATTTCCCTTTTGACTTTTTGTCTGTCCCGTGGGTTATTTAGAGGTGTATTATTAATTTCCAAATATCCATAGGATTTTCTAGATGTCTTTCAGTTATTGATTTTTAATTTAATTCCACTATAGTCAGAAAACATAGTTTGCATGCTTTGAATCCTTGAAAATTTATTGACACTTGTAAATAAAGACTCCATTATTTCATCATGACTAAAGACAAAAATTAGAGAATGCCTCTTTTATTTATAAAACTGAAAATTTCTTTAGGAATTTGCCCAGTAATTGCCCAGTAATTGTATTCAACTAAACACATTCCCTTCTCATATGATTCTCACCTCTGAGTAGTGGAAAGTGGGGAAATAATATTTATTTGGAAATATATACCTAATCACATCTTTAATAAATATAACCTTATAATTAGGCTTTAGCTATTAGATGGAGATTACCTCTAAACATTATATAAACTTATGCATCTTTATTTTCTCAATATTTAATACATATTTTGCCATTAATTTGTGACTTTTTAAACCAAAAGAGAGTATGTGTGGGAGTAGGGAGGGGTGAGATAGTTACAATGGGAATCTATGTTTCCATTTCTAATAACCTCACAATTCTCCTAGAAATTAAAATTAAAAACAGTATAAATAAATATGGATGCATAAAATTAGTTTCAACTTCTAAGCAATAACCACATTAACCTAAAATGAAAAATGATTTCAAAGACTCCATCTCCTCTCAATGTCTGTAATAGTTGTAACAATCTTTAATTGCTAATAAAAGATATCCTGCTTAATGACTGCAAATGATATTTCTGTGATTTGATCAAAGTGATCCCCAAGAGTATTCTGTATCTTAACATACTAGTTTTCAAGCTCAGTATAATAATAAACATTATATGAAGTAGACATAAATTCATTATTAAATCAATTAATGTGACAAAAGTCACACTGGCACCTTTTTAAAACTCTGTCTTTTATCAACTTCAATTGAATGTAGCACCAATCAGTAGCTGATAACTACTTGTAAATCCCACGTTTGCTTCAAAGATACCAAAATATAGTATGTATTGTTGTCACCATATCAAATTAAAGAATAACCTCATTTGTGGAAGTCTTTTATAAAGCTGCACAATATTCTTCTAATTGATTGTCTTTTTCAGAATGGAATAAGAGATTCTTTTATTTCCTTAGCTTAGGTTACCTGGACATGCTGACCCTTTATGAGATATAAAATACTCTAGAAAGATGCTGAAGATTCGATTTATATTATTTCTCTAGTATTCAGCCAAACATTCTCATATCCCAAAGTAGCTCTGATACATAAGCATGAATATCAAGTTTTTTTTTAACTATAAAACTAACTTGGTGTTAGTCAACAATTAAAAACAGAAATTATAACTCCATAAAGCACAGAAATCCAACAACACAAAAGAGAAAGTCAAGATACATTTGAATACCTAGTAAGAATAATTCTAAATGATGTCACATAAATTATAATTATAGTTCAACTGAGATTTCAGAAGAGAGAACTATGTTAACAAATTGCAATCAAGGAAGGCAACAGACCAGTAAGTTTGATGTAAAAACTATAATGATTGAAGGAGTCTTGCTTAATTTCTCTGGAAGTATGTGGAGTTGTCAGGTGATCTTTATGACCTTCTGAAAATGGCTTGTTTTTCAGCCTGGCACTTTATAGCCTAAAGATTACAGCCTAAAAAGTAGATTATAAATCAAGTTATATTCTTATTAGCCTGAATTATAAATGTTTCATATGTTTGCAGATAAAGTAGCTTTTGAAAAATTTTAAACTAAAAGGAAAAGATAATTTAATGTATCATTACTACTAACAATAGGTCACACAAAGTTAAACACATTACTGAAACCTAAAACTTTAACTTGTCCTTAAAACAAGTCCTCTTTAGGGCTACAATTTCTTTATGACAAGATCACTAAAGTCCTACACTCAAGTATATCATCTGCATAATTTTTTTTCCCATTAAATGTGAATGGCTGCATGAAAACCAGTCCTAGCTTTGTGAATTCCTTACTATGTACCAGGAATTTCGAATCCCGTTATGTGCTTTACCTCATTTAATCCTCACTGTAACTCTATAAAACAATTGCTATTGTTTTATAATATTATATACTATATATAATTATATAATATTACTTAACACTTTTTAGATAAGGAAACTGAGCAGAGACCATATTTACAACCCAGGCAACATGGCCCTAATGTCTGAGTTCTCTGTCACACTATGTTGCCTAACAATATTAAATTACAAAAATAGAAGTTACAGATTTGCACTGCAAAGACAGCTAGTGCAAAAACAATCTTTGAAAAGGGTCGTCTAAAATAATTGAATAAATTTTTGATTTCCACAGTTTTTCAGCAGACAGTTGAGGAAAGAACTTGAATTGTAAACTTTAACCTATAAAGTTCTCTGAAAGTTGACAGTCCAAAGAAAAGAAAAAAGCAATTACTAAAGTGCCATGAAAAGTTGACATCTTACTGACACAGGGTATGAAAAATTTACATTTACAATATATTGATGAAGAACAGGAAGGACTGCAGTAACTGAGATTAATGGTTGACCTTCAAATTTAATAGTTTTAAGTTTGATGAGGTATGTGCCCCAAAAGCAAGCACAGATAAAAACATATGAAGCCCATATATACACTGCTTAAAAATCTTTCATAATTTTACCTTTTGGTTTCGGGGTAAATCTTGAGCATTTGATGGAGGCTTATAATTCAGAACTAATCTTCTAAATTCCAAAAGATTGAATAATGACTGAAAAAGAACAACAATGTAAGACAATGTAACAGAAAGTTCTATTAACAAAACTACAAAAATGACTCATCTCAGAGATTTATTTTTGATGACTCCTTATACATAGAATTCTTGCCACTAGCACAAGAAGGACTTTTTTTTCCCTGAAAAAAAGTAAAATTTCTTATATGTAAACATTCTATTCTTGATCACTAACAATATTTTTCTACTGCAAAGCAGAAAATTATACATTTACAACAGAAAAAACATAATATATATTAGGTTATTAAAAGCTTTCTTTCTTTATATTAATATATGCCTAACAAGCAGTTTTCTCAAAATAAAAGGTACACTAATGGAAAGTCTAGGAATTTTTGACATGTTATATTCACTATGAGTTATTTATAAGTATCAATTCTATAAAAATATAGTACAAATAAATCTATGGGCCAAATGCTAGGTGACAGAGACACAAAGAAATTACATATTATCACTATGCTTAAGGAAACTCACTGCCTAGAAAGAAGAAAGATATTTAATTATAACAATAGAAATATGACTCCAAGAAACAGTATTATTGATCATGCAGAATTTAGTAACAGCACATGAAAGATGCCCACTTAAAGACTTCTTGGAGCTGTTTTTTAAAATTACAGCTCATCACAAGTTAATGTCATCATAAACATTTGTTTAAAAAAAAAGGAATAAAATACAATGGAAAATATAAGAACACATCATACACACTAAATTAACCAGAGCATTATCTGAAAAATTTTCATTGTAGATACTTTACATACAAATGAATGTGTAAAGTGTTTTGCAATGTAAATATACTCCTTTCATGAGTTACAGTTTAAAAAGCTTGAAAATCACTGTACAGGAGGCAATTATGTATTAAATCTTAGTAAAGTAAATAATAACTTATCTTAATATAGATTAACCAACGTAATAAAAGATAAAGGTGGCACCACAAGTCAATGAGAAACCAAGGTTTTGTTTAGTAGTTGGGTGTTGAGAAAACTGGCCCACTACAAATAAAGAAAAAGAGTCAGATATAAATATATATAAATGTGGATTAAAGACCTAAATAGGAAAAGTAAAACCACAAAGCTGGTAATCGAAACTGTGGGAAAATATTTTGGTTATCTTATGATCTGGAGATATTTTTTAATTAAACAAAATGAACATGTGAGATAATTCACTTATTCAACCATTTAACACATATTTATGGATCATCTACTACATGCCAGACATAAGGAGGGCAGGCAGCAAAGAATAGAATATATTAAGTCTCTGCCCTTTTGGAGATTACAACCTTGTATTGCAGTTGTAGTGCATGCAACAATAATATGAACTACAAATCAGAAAGAAAGTGAATACACTAATACTAAACCAAGATCAGAACCTTAGGGGCGAAGCACTTAAAAGCAAAGGAAAAAGAGCTATGACAGAGAAAAAACAAAAATAGTAAGGAAAGTAAATAGTATTAGATTTCAGAGGAAAAGGGAATAGAGAAAGCAAGGCATTCAAACATAATGGTATCAGTTTAAAAAAGTACCTATGTTAGAAGCCTCTCAACAAAGGTATAAAGTACCGCAGAAGACTCTTAAGTACTCTGGCAAATTTCAAAGACAAGAAATACAGATCTTCCTTAATTTATGATGGATGGGGTTATGTTTTAATAAGCCTATTTTAATTGAAAATATTGTAACTAAAAAATGCATAAAATACATCTAACCACACCAAACATCAGAATTTAGTCTAGCCTATCTGTGCTCAGAACACTTACAATAACCAACATTTGGGCAAAATCATTTTAACACATAGCCTATTTTATAATAAAGTGTTGAATATCTCTTGTAATTGACTGAAAACTGTACTGAAAGTGAAAAACAGAATAGTTGTAAGAGTATTGGTTGTTTACCTTCGTGATCACATAGCTTACCAGGAGCATATCACAAGAGAGTACCGTACCAACCACTGGTCCAGGAAAAGATCAAAATTCAAAATTACAAGCCAATATCTACTGAAAGTGAATTTCTTCTGCACCACTGTAAAGTTGAAAAATTCTTAGTGGAGGCATCATAAATTGAGGACCATCTGCACTCTTAAAGGCTGCCACATTCCAATAAGGTAAGGGCAGGAAAATAACTTGGATTTGGCAACTGGGAAATCAGCAGATGGTACGAGAAGAATAGCAGCAATGAGTACTGAAGAAATGAGATATAAGTAAAGGGGACAAAGTATGGACTATTCTTACAAGGAACTTAAATACAAAAGAGAATACTGACAAATTAAGATACTCCCAATCCCACTTCTATGCTCTGAGCTCCCAAATGGAGACATTTTCCTTCTTCCTGAATACACATTAGAATTTCCCCTGGGGAGGATCTACTGTGGTGAATTATTTCAGTTTCTGCTAGACTGGAAATTGTTTTTTCTTCATTTTTGCTAGTTACAGAATTCTAGATGGTATTTTTTTCCAACACTTCAAAGATAGCATTTCTGGTGATAAGTCAGCTGTTAGCATTATTTTTGCTCTTTATTAAAGTGATACATCTTTTCCATCTGGCTACTTTTAGTATTTTCTCTGTCTGTGGCTTTCCTGTTTCACTATGATGTGCCTTGGCACAGTATTCTTTATGTTTATATTACTTGTTTCCTATTGCCTCTGGAATCTGTGGCTTTATCTTTCTCATGAAGTTTGGAATGTTCTCATGAAGTTTGGAATGTTCTCAGTCATCTATTCAAATATTACTTCTTCCCTATTCCATTTGAGTCTCCTTCAGGAACCAAAAATATACTATGTTAGTGTGATTCATGATGTCCAAAATATCTCTTATATGCTCTTATCTATATTTTATGGCTTTAGTCTGAAAATGATCTTCAGACCAACTGTCCAGTTGACTAATTCTCTCTTCAGGTGTGTCTAATATGCTATGAACTCATCCATTCATTTCTCAACTTCATTTATTATATTTTTACATTCTAAAATTTCTATTTTTTTATAGTTCTTGGTTTCCTATAAAAAATTCAATCTTGTCTTTAATTCCTTGAGCACACTGATAGTTGTTATGACAAACAATTCAATTTTCAGGTTTCCTTGTAGGTATATTTCCACTGTCCCTTATTTTTTAATTTTTGGACACATATCTTGGGATGACTTATTATGACTGATTTGAATGCTGGACACTGTGTGAAAAACTGGAAAGAACTCAAACTTCTGGATGGTATTATCTTCTAACAGAATTTACATTTGCTTCTGGAGGCAAGATAAGGGCCATTTGCAATCCCAGATCAACTTAATAACAATCAATTCGGAAATGAAGCTGAGATTCAGAAAGTATGAAGCCTAGTCTATTTTCAGTTCTCTGTTAATCCTAGGTTCTAGCCCTTTGGAACCCTAACTGAAAGTGTGATGTGTCCAATAGGGCTCCAAGTCTGTGCAAAACTGCTTAGTTCCCAGCCACCCAGCAGCTACTTCTAGAATTACCTCAAGGATATAATCAGCCCAAAATGTGAAGCTTACTCTCTAAATATCCTGTTCTCTCAATGCTTAGTCTCAAAATTCCTCACTGTTTTAGCATTATATGATGCCTTCAAAAAGTTGCTCTTATTTTGTTGTTGTTTTTGTGGGGGGCCCAGCAAAATATTACAAGGCAAATATTCTAAAAACACAAGAAGCTATTACAAAAAGTAGACTGTGTGACCATTTAACAAATCCCAGAAATTAACTTTCTTAAGTCCCAAACACTCTGTATTCTAAATCAAAATCATAATAATAGTGATCAATGTATTCCTGCAACAGGGTTAAGAAAAGGTAATTGTCACTATTACCTAAATTACGTTTGTGATTGTTGCACACTGAAAATGAGTATCCTTTCATTTAGGCAAAAGTAAACGTGAATTTTGAATACTTGCTAAAATGGAATTTGGCTAAACTCTTGCTAACAACAGAGAACTTTGGGTGATGAGAATTCAAATAATTTGTGGAAAATGAAATGAGTGATGACAAGTGAGCAAAGGAAAATATAAACTGTCGTAATGAAGGATACTGAGAATAAGCAAGATGAAATTATCCTTGGATTTAAAAAAAAAAGAAAAGGGAATGATATCATGTAAGTTTCAAGGCATGATTAAAAGATTAAAGTCTGTATACAGAACAATTAAATCCCTATGTGCTTCCTAGACCCAGGAAAGTCAGACAACAAAAAACTCCTCCTAGGAAGTGTAAAATAGTTTTTAGATATAATTTTACTTAACTGACTCAGTAAGGAGAGTAGATAAGATTAAGGGCTGCAAATAGGAGGATTAAGTAAAAACCTGCAAACTGACCTCTATTGGACCCTCTTTTCCAATCCCTTTTCACTACACTTGCTTTTAGAAAGCCAGCAACCCTATTTATAACATAAAGGGTCAGAATCCAATATTTGAGGATTTGAGGCAGAGGAATCTTCTGTTGTAAAGAACTCCAAAAAATTTTTTTAATGAGCTAGGATGCTTTAGCATATAAAACATTATTGATAAGATCATGATAGAGATGTCAAAGCATTTGGAAAATTTTAAAAACAAACATGTTGAAAATAGAAAAAGCTGACAATTGACAATTCCAGGAAAACAAAAGGATTATAGAGGGATAGTCCTAGTATCTAGTCCCAAACTAGAGAGAGAAGAGAATATATACCTCTAAATAACTACCTTATTCACTGGTACTCTAGTGGAGCAAGCAATTCCAATTAGTACTTCTACATATAAATTCTAAGTACAGGATTAAAATAGTCCTGACTAGATAAGGGATGATGCTCTATCTAAGAAAGTTAGGCTGATATTGCTAGCAAACAAAAGATATTTAAGCTATTCTTTGTATTTCTTCACTTTGCTTATAGTCTCTTTCTGATAGTTTCTCTTTTGTCCCAAAATACTGGTCCTAAAAGAACAAGTGTAACAGAGTGGTACCTACAGTAGCTTACCGCTGCTAACTACTCTGAAGTTAGAGATTTATAATCCTAATAAGCATCTATAATTGGTAGGTATACTTACAAGGAAAATAATTTTTTTCATGTTGTTTCATGCCAGTACTGCCACCTAAGTAAATTCCATCCTTGAGAAAATTTGTAATTGAAACTTTACAGTACATTTACATCACTGTTTGAAAGAGTTCCAGCTTGCCTTGGAAAATATAGTAAGAAACCTCCAATACTAATACATATTTTCTGCCCAACTTTTCTTTACTAAGTGAAACGTTCCATTTATGTTTTATCTCAAATTAATCTGCAGTATTAAGCAATAATGTCAGAAAATGAAAAGAGATGACAAGTATTTAAAATAAACTTTAAAATTACAAAAAAAATGAAACAAAGTGATCTTTTAACAAATTTTTCTTCCCACCCACAATTCCAAAAATATGAAACTTAAAATATTTTTCCACACACTCAAAAGTCATTTATCTTAATACTTCACTATTACCCAAATTTTTCAAGGTTAGAGGTTACTTCTCTAGGTGTCTAGATTTCTCCAAAAGAAAAAAAAAAATCAAAAGTACCCTATATTTGTCTGTAACAGGAGTGTGGTAGAGCTATGCTACCACTTAAGCAGCCACTCATCTTAATATAGAACTTAAAAATTAGTAAAAATTCCCTCAAATTTTAAAAAGGACAAGCAATTTCTTTCAGCCCATTCCCATTCCACTAAAAAAACACCAAAAATTTTAAAATAAACCAAAAGTTAAGGTCAGCAAACACCGCTTAGGGAAGAAGCAGATGAATAATTGTTCCAAATCTGAACTAACATACTGAGAGAAGTTTATCCTATGAAATAGAAAATGGTCATCCCCTATCTATTAGTATTGATTTAGTTATCATTTCAAATAGGCTATTCTTAAAATATGGTCTGTGGAAAAACAGAACACCTAGTAAATAATGATTATTTGCAAGTATTTTCTTTCCTCTTTTCTAAGAGAAGCCTCTAACCAATGAGCCTCATTTATTGGTCACAATAATGCAGAGATAACATCTACTTATCCAAAACCAGGCAGCAAAGTATATTCATCAACTATCAGATTAAAGCCTTATAAATGTGCTTCCTACTTTAAAAATGTCTAAACTATGAAATTTAGATTGGACAATAAAATGTACAAACTCTTACTAATAGTGCAGGTAAAGCAAGATAGCCTTACTGAGAAAGTCTAAGATACTCAAACAGAGCAGATATCTTAGATATTGTTGGCACGTATGTGAATAAATAATGCATAATCAAGGCTAGGAACAAAGGTATTATTACAGATTTATGTTAATCCAGGTATTTCTTAACATTTTAATAATCTAGAAAATACCTAACAGCATATTATTACAAACTAGTATACACCATATATTAAAGAGTGAGGCATAAATTCAGAAAAAGAAGGGAAATAAAATTGTATGGTAGTATGCACCAGAAGCAAAAAAGTGGTAAAGAATTGAAAATTATAATGTTGAAGTAGAAAAGTTAAAATTACAGATTAATCGCCTATAGAAAACAATTAACAACCTTATAGAAAATGAACTAAATAAGCAGTTAGTTGCTTTAATATCATATGAAAGTTCAGGCTGTCATACATACAGGTTTGGAAAACTATAAAATAAAGAAATAAAAGGAAAACTAGTCCACATTGAGAAGAGGATGGATATCCATGTATTCAAATATTTTTCACTTTTAAGAATAAGGGGATCAAAGAAGCATTTCACTAAAGGGCTTTTTAAGTTAGGAAGAAAATGTGTTATCCTTGATTTACCAATATTTATTCTTTAAACCATTCTCACATGTGCATTGAGAGTAACTTGTCAATATATACTCTCCACAAATTAAATGCCTCTTTGTATTAATAATACTATTTAAATGACTATAATTCTATGAATAACATTTTTCACTACATACAAGTAAATCTGATCTGATTTACAGTCACACACAAAAAAATAGTTTTGGTTTTACATCTTTGGTACATCCTTCCCGAAATTTGCTGGGAAATACATACAAAAATATTTTCTTTCACTCTGACAGTACTCCCTAACAGTGGGCAGGGAGGAGAAATTAATTCCAAATAAGCAGAAGGCAGTTAGTACTCTATTGTTAAAGCTCCAGACTGAAAATGAGGAATATAGTGGGGTGAAGAGTGTTGCAATTTACCAGCTAGTTCATTAGACAGATGGGCATATTAAAACTGCCTGCATTTATGTTTAAACTGATTAAAAGAAACATAATCGAACTCACGTTCCATTGCTATCATGCCCACCAAATAAGACCTATATAAAGATACTTACCTGAATAACAGCACTAAACCAGCAAGTATTGCCAACATTCTTTAGTCCAACAGGAGCTTTATCCTGCCTTTTTCTGTCATAAGGGTTTCGAGAATCCTTCCAAACTTCTGTTGGCGTCCTCTTCAAACATGCTTTATTTTCTTCTATGCTGGCTTCAAGAACTCTTTAAACAATGGGAAGAAAATGGTGAAAAAATACAGTATCAACTAGTGCTGTACCCTAGAAAATAGCATACCATAAGCTAAAAACTTTAAGCAAGCTCTGGATAATGTATTAGGGGAAGTAGTGGAGGTTAGCTTACTGTTAAGACCACAGCAGTGGCAATGCCAAGAGATCAATAGACATGCCACCATTTTTCCTAAGAAAAAGGAAATTTCAACTGTTAAAAGATAGTGTTATAAAAACTAGTCATCTGTTATATTGTAAATATGTACTTTAATGCAGTGATTACTCAGAAAACTTACCTAGCTGCTATATGCCTGGTACTAAACTTCTAATCTATTGAAACGTAATTTAACATACTTTCCATTTTATAACAATTACTTTAAATCATCAAAACATTAATAACTGAACAAACTGAACTCTTCTTCCCTGACCATTAATTTCTTTTTCTATAAAAAAATGTTAAGGTAAATTATAGGGTTCCTTTCAGTTCTAGAGATCTACGGCTCCATGGCAGCGAACCTGAAAGTTTTCCTAGGGAAATAAATATCTGAATATCAGAATATAAAAAGATTAGCTTCTTCCAAATAAATTCACCTACAGAATATCTTAAATATATCTAAACATGCAAGAGAAATGCTACTTTGCTTACTCATGATTTTTTGCACTTAAGCAATCAACATCATGCTGGAAAACCCTAATTCCTACACTATAAACTAACAAAGCACTTTGCCTCCTCAAGATATGTGTTACTTTCTATACTAAATAAGAATTTTAATTACAGAAACCTCAACAAGAATAAGTTTTTCCAACATTTTGGCTTCCTGAGTAAGTCTCATTCATGCTTCATCCTAAAAGGGATTTTGCCCTATTGGATTAATGTCAAAATAATATAGCTATATACCTTAATTATGGGGAAAAGTAAATTATTTAGTACAAACAACATAATATTAGATATAATGTAGCAGGATTCCAAAGTATCATTACTTAAAATAACTTACATGACTATAGGATAAATATTTATTGGGGGGAATCAATGAAACCATACACTAAAAAACACAGATAGTTTACATATGTGAAAATATAAAGATCAAAGTAAATTCACAAAATCCAATATTAGCAGCAGTACTCTTGGCCCAAAAATCAACCTCTCACATGCAACCCCAACCCCCAGAAGCATTTTCTCTTAAATTATTTACCATTAAAAGGTACCAGGACTCCTTTGAAGGTATTTAGTTAGATGAATTTGAGCAGAAGGAAATCAGAATTTACCTAGAACATCCCCCTATTACCAAGTTTTCAAGAACAAAGGGGAAGATAAAAAGTCAAAGAGCCAACATGAGAGACTTACTACTGCTGAAATCGTACAGTTCAGCACAATATGATTATAATCATCGACAGGAACAAATAGTATTTGTATAAGGTGACTAGCTCATGCTCAAAAGAGAAATGAGAACATAGCACACATATAACAAAAGACTGATGTTTACAAAATATCTATTCTTTAATTGATGTTTATAAATGGGAGTGTTTTCATTTAAGCATTTAGTTCCTTTCGTAATGCAAATACATATTTAGAAGTATAAATAAAAGAACCTTGGTAATTAGAAATGAATGACCTAAAATAAGCAATAAATTCTGGGGAAAGTAGCAATAATACCACAAACAGGACAGTGCTCATACATAAAAGGTAGAAGAGGCATCCAGCGGGTATGTACAATAAGCACTTAAAAGGAGGATTCTACAGCATGTTCTAAAAGTATGAACTGGTCAAAAGTCTAGAATTATACTCAATCCTGAATCTCCTGAATATTTATCTCCTAGGTGAATAATCCTCTACCATTACATATATTTGAAGTACTAATTGTAATAAATACGTATATGAATTGAACCCTTCTTAGTAATGCCAAAAGACCAGATCACCTATGTCATAATGACCAGACAATGAGTCATTTAGACATCAGTTATGGAAAACTTGAGAATACCTCATTTCCATAAAATACAACCAAGCTGCAAAACTTAAAATCTATTAGTAATAACATTAGTAATAAAATCATGTATTAATAACAAAATGAGGCAGACTGAGCTTCAAAACCAGAGTGACTAACACTAGGTCTCATGTTTGCAGCAAGTATCAACAACTCAGCCCAAATCTATAATCTAGACTGCTCTGGGATGATATTCTTCTAATTCCAGATTCTGATTAAGGTTAATAAAGCCTAGGAAGTTTACTTTTTTATGTTTTAGCATGGTCAGTTGCCTCACCATCCTCTTCTGCTTGTCTCTCACCAAGAAAATATACCTCTTAATTTGTATGTTTACATGCAAATAATGTAGTGTAAATGCTACATTTATGTACTGAGATAATAGAAGCTTTTTAGTTCCTTTGCCTACTCTCTCCTTGACAGGACTTGAGAGAATATATCGTCTCAACTGTACTCTCTAGGACCAAGCAGCTTGCCTGCACTATAGGTTGTGCCATTCCACAAAGGGAGTTGTAAGGGGAAGTCAAGGATAAAACTGAAGACACCATTCCCCATCATTCCTATATAGCTTTCCTTATAAAAGTAAAATTAGGTACAAACGTAATGTTTGATTAGGATTAAAGAGATACATGCTCATTGCTCCTAAAAGTTACCTGAGATATGAAAACAAAAGAATATCCATTTGCTATAAACTAGATTTATATTTGGTGTATGTATGTATGTATATATATATATATATAATTAAATATTCATGTAACTCAATTCAGTCATATGGTGGATATAATCATTCATTAAAACAGAAGTATGGGTTTTAAAGAAATAGGTTTATGATAATATTCCTTAACCACACCATATGGTAGAATTATGGCACTAAAAGTTGGTAGATGAAAGAATGCCAAGACTTTGTGATCTCCTTGATTCAGAGCTTATAAATATTCAGTTTGTATCACAAGGGACTCACAACATGCTTTAATACGTTTTTCCTACCATCTCCTCCTGGCTCCTGAAGGACTTTATAAACATATTTATCACACTGTACCAAAAATACTTATTAATCAACCAGTTCAATCAGCATATGGAGGGTAGAAACAGAGTTGTTTTATTCCTAGAGCATACATGATAAATACTAAGTGCTAAACAAACATCTGAAACATATGGATGATTAAGAAATTAGATGTTGCTACCTCCTTATTATTTTTTTAACAAAAGCCCAACCTTTAGCCCAAACATTATCTATTTCCAAGCCCTTGTCCCTTTCTATAGGCCAATATTGGCATAATGAATAAACCTCCTGTAAGGCCAAGTCCTCCATACAGTTTCCTTCCCTGGCCTCATCAAGGAAAAGACAGTAATGCTACCCAGGCTTTGAAGTACAGAGTATGCAACAGTTAAACTCCAGGTATATAAAGGTTGCCAGTAGAACGGGGGGAAAATTAAATCTCAGAGAGCTCTGGAACGGCTTACAAGATGTAGCATGCCAAGAGAGATCTTGGCATTCAGCAATATAAAAAGATGACAAAGTGTTTTGCTGTATCTTTTCCTTCCACACACTATACTGAACATTTGAAGCACTTGTAAATGTTCACCTTCCACTTAAATTTTCTTGCACTGATTTTGTTTTGCGGATTTTTGTTTTGCCAGTCTTATTTTGTTCTGTAATGTCATGTAAATTGCATTACAACAGTAATGTTGAAAACACCTCACTTTAGATCATCAAAGTGCATTTGGGGAAGCATCTTACTCAATGAAGAACATGCATTATCAGTTAAGCTGTACAGATCAACAAAATAGGAAAGACAAAAGAAGGGAGGGAGGGAGGAAGGGAGGAATCACCTTATTATTTTCTTAAAAAAAAAATCTATTGGTATTTTGATTGGGATCACAGTAAACTCTTTAGTCAATTTAAGAAGAACTGGACCAGTTTTATAATGCTCAGTCCTATTGAAATAGAATATATTTCTGATTACTTACATATTCATTAATGTGTCTCAATGATACTTAATTTTCTTATTGGAAATTCTTGATTATTTCTTAATAAATTTATTCCTGGGTTGTAATAGTTTCAAGTTATAAACGGTAGCTTTTTAAATTATACTCTTAATTATATATAGAAATATAATTTTTATATATTGGTTATCAATCAACATAGGTAAATATATACTTTTTTGGTTTGGTAGAAGTACTGTACTAAGCGGTAATTTACTAAAATAAGATACACAAATCTTAAATGTACAGCTCAGTGAAATGTTGTACATGCGACCACTACCCAAACCAATATATAGAAAATTTTCATTATTCTAAAAAACTCTCTCTTACCCTTTTCAAGCCAACAGTGTCCTCTGCATCCCCCAGATAATTACCATTCTGACTTCTGTCACCATAAATAAGTTTTGTCTGTCCTTAAATAAACATCACATAAATGGAATCATACAGCAGTGACTCCTGAGTCAAGCTTATTTCACTCAACATGGTGTTTAAGGATTCCTCCACATTTGTAAGTACCAGGAAAATGTCTTCCATTATATTGTGTAGTATTCCATTGTGTGACTATACCACCAATGTATACTATTCTGCTTTTATGTATATTTGGTTGTTTAGACGTTTTAGTTATCATTAATACATCAATTAATATCACTTCTCAAGGGCGAGTGGAAATGCTAAATCTAGCATAGTATATGGTCAAATTCATTAGTTAGAAATTCCATTTTCCAAAGTGATTATACCATTATACATTCCTACTTATGATGTATGACAGTTGTAGTTGCTCTGCATACTTGCCAATACTTGATATTATCAATCTTCTTAATTTTAGCCATTTTAATAGAGACATAGTGGTGCCTGTTCTCTAACAATTCATCAAGTTATCACCACCCGCATCATTCTTATTGCTGCAGTCTATCATCATACTCAACATGGCAACATGTCCACAATCATAAATTAAGGGATACAAATTATCACTGTCAGTGATGCCTCACTATTGTTGACTTTCAAGTAACAGAGCTGCTGTTCCAGTCTC